GTTTTAAGATTATGATTATTTATATAACACAATGAACACCATATAAAATCTATTTTTACATTTATAATGGACTATATATCTTGACATTGTTTATTTAAGATCTACACAGTATCTTACTACATCTTGTAAGTGGTTAGGCGTGGAGTGTTATTTGAGTGTTCCCTGTGAGGAAGATAATGTATTATAAATATGGGCTTCATAGAAAGTGTTACCGAAATACTTTAACTGTTAAAAAAATCAGGGGGGAAAATCTGTAATACAAGAGTAATATATTTCTGTCTTAGAAATAATAAAAAATAACGCAAAGTCTCAGACAGCACAGTTTCATCTAATAAGAAAATACTTTGGTCAAAAATAATTTGATAATGTTCAAATTTTATGCTCTTGTTTTTTTCTTATGGTATCAAAAATGGTGTCAAATATTGATATTTTTTTCATTCAAAATTTTTCATATATTTCATATGTTTAATTCAAATATTGATATTTTTTATATTGTCTTGAAGTTAGAAAATACAGTATTGTGGCAACACTGTATTATACATTTCTTTCCATTTCAGAACAGTGAGAACGAGTTTCTGTGTTCACGCTTACAATGCACTCCATCCGAAGAGTGTGAATACTTTGTTTTCTATTGCCTTTTGTGATCTTTTCTATGGTTTTGCTTGAATTATGAGGGATTTGTTAATGTTCAATATCTTTCAATATGTTTTTCAATATGTTCCATTTTTGATGATAATATATAGTGGAAGTACAGTTTTTGGTTTGATTAACATGGAATAAATGACTTATGTCACTTGCCTCTTTATACAATCACACCTTGTTAGGACATGATGTATAAATATTGAACTACAGCACTTAACTCAACATGAATAATTCATAAAATCATGTGCATTGTTGAGGAACGATGTGATGTTACTTTACTAAGTGATCAGACACACCATTTTCACCTTCAGGACCAGAAAACAAGTGAACAAAATCCCACAGATTCACATTGAAAGAACTGAATCATATCTACAGACTTGAGACCACCTAGCAACCACCCAGAACCGCGTAGCAACAGCCTGACAAACACATCATGCATCACGGCAGTGCATTTTGCACAAGCACTTGATTTAATTGAAAAATATAAAAATGTAGATTGCCTCCCCTGATCACATTTATGTAGTCGCTTGTGAAGGCATTTTGAGGCGCTTTTAAAGAGCTGTGTGAGTTTTGATGACTGAACCTGTCCAATTGCACACACAGAGAGAGAGAGAGAGAGAGAGAGAGACTGATGGATGCAGCATTTTTATAGTCTGCAGATGGAGGCCGGTTTTATTTTCCTGCAATTTTCCCTCTATTTTTGCGATTAAAAAGTGAGTGTGGTTTGTTTCACGGCTTTGCTGTGCGTGTGTTATTGATTGGCTTTCTCTGTGTGTCTTGTTGCGAGTCTTTTAATGTTGCTCTCCGTCTCGCTGGCGGCCTGCTTTTCCCGTCTCCACGGAGACCAGCGAGTCTCTCAGGATCTCGTTCGCGGCTCCCGGCAGCCGCTTCAGCACCTCCGCTCTCACACACACATGACTCCTCTGATGTATACGCCGACCTACTTTATCATCACACACACACGCACGCTCTCGTGGCTGGTCTCGTCTCATATCAGTCCCTGATGTCCAGACGCACTTAGAGTTATAAACCCAGAGCCACAAGTGTGACAGCAGAGGACACACACATACACAGCTCTGGCTGGTGATCTCACTGTATTATAGTGTGTACAATTCATGTCAGAAAGATTGTATTTGAGTTAAAGGCACAACACCTCATAGCCACACAAAGCCTTAATTATGAGTTTGAAACACTGAACTTTTCCGTGTCAGTAAAAAAACGTTGG